ATCACAGTTATTCCCAATCCCCAGTTCGTGCTCACACTATTTGAAAGAGGATATATATGAAGCAAAAGCACATTGACCAAGTTAAGACAAGAGTTTGACAGCCTGTTCCCAGTATGGCATCCAGTTTGCTGCTTGCAGTTCTTTGTGTTACACTTCCAATAGATCTTGGAATTGAAGTTGAGCCTCATTTGATGATCATTTTTGCAGTGCTTTTCAGTTGGCAGGATCCCTTTACCTTGAAGCAGGCAAACAAGCATCCTCTTTATTTCTTGGCAGGTACCAATGATTCATTTCACAGTTAGAAAAAAAAAAACACATCTAAGTTTATAAAAAGTGGTGAAAGGTAACCCACAAGTACCAAAAAAAAGTCTAGGTGAAATTTTATCACTTTCCTCACAGTTTTTACAATTTTCTTTTTTTTATCTGTCCTTGTATAATTGAATTATTGCAGTACTGTCCTCATATCTTTTCTCTATAAATTTGATGTTTCTCTTGATACCGTTCCATTCTGAGGTAATTGCCTGTTTTAGTCAAAGGGTTTTTCATCGGCAACTGAAGCTAAACAAAGTGGTTTGTTATATTGTTTTTTTTTGTTTTTTTTTCCTTTTTTAGCTGATCGATCAATTGATTGTAGATGGTCTATTGTTTAGTAGCCACACCCAAAACCTATTTGAGTGGCTGGTTTTCATCTTGGCTATTTGTTATATGGACTCATATCCAAATGGTTAGAACATTCATTTTCCAACCATGAAACCCTGGTTCAAATCTCGCCATGCTTGATTTCTTAGGAAGGTGACTACTTGATGTTATATACCTGGGGTGATGGGATGCCTGAAAACCATACCATAAGTTGAGCCAATCTTTAGGAGTGAAATTGTCTAGACGCCATCAATGGTTGTGCTAGTACAGTAATAAGTTACTATGACTGAGGGTTTGAGCATACTGGCATTGTTTAAACTGTTAATCATGCCAGATTATGCAGTCTCTCTCCCAGAAACTGTAAATTCTGCTCAGTATCCTTGCAGTATAAACCACAGGTGGACTCTGGTTTATTTTGTTTTACAGCATATCAATACCTCAATGGCTTATTTAATACCAACAAGATTTTTGGGATTCATATAACTAGAATATGTATTCTTTGTAAGAAATCAGTTTGTAGATCAGGTTTCATTGACGTATTTTTGTAAAATGGGTTTTTGTCAAGAGTCAAATGCATTGCTGGTAAAAAAATTTTTTATTTAAAAAATCTATTTTTATACTTTCATAGTGTTTTGGCTAGTTTGGGGTGGGGGTAACTGTTTACCCATAGCAGGAACCCTAATAGGTGCTACCACACCAGGTCAGTGGACCTGGGAACAGCAATTAAGTGGTTCTATGCTCCTCAAAACCTTCCGTCCAGAAGCCTTGTTGCCAGATGTTGTTTATCATCATACCCAGGACAGTGGACTCTGTTGGTGTTGAATAAACAGAAATGTGCCTGAAATTGCACCTGCAATGTCATTTATCCTGCTAACCTAACAGACAGGTGTGCTCAGAAATGAGTAACCAGATATTGTTGGATAATAGGTAAATCATTTACATACACTGTTGGATTTTATAAGGCAAGTCACAATAAAACTTGCTTTAAACAGATGCTGTTAAAATTTTCAGGATATGTTTCACAAATATACCCTATTAATTTCAGCTTACCAGATTTTTTATTTAATTCGACAGATTTTATTGCTGAAACATTATTTTTTAGTGCATATGCATATTTGAGTAGCTGTTATGTTTATTTATTAAACAGTATTTACTGCTGAAAGAGTTTTATGGGTATCCACAAAAAAAAAAAAACAAAATGAATGATTACATTATATCCAAAAACATTTGACACTAAACAAAAGAAATGCAGCTTGAACTTGTTTATTTACTAATGAGATATTCCATTATCTAGAATTCTCAAAATGTGTGTGTGTGTTCAGATGTTGTTTATGCATTTCCACAGTTTTCATCCAATTTTGATGGAATTTTTTTTGTTTGGTAGATAATTTTTCAGTGTCAGTTTTGAGTTCAAATTGGCTGGAAAAAATTACAACCTTCAAGGTGAAAAATTGAAAAAAACTGATTTTGTTTTTTACACTTTGTGCAAAAATCAAAGGCAAAATTTAATATCTGTGTAAAAAAAAAAAAAAAAAAATGGCATACAATCCATTTAGAGAGTTGAAATCTAACACTAAAGATTATTAGAATGATAAAAAAATTATAAATAATTATCATTTTTTATTATTATTATTATGACAGTCCATAGAAGAGGTTCCTTCCTTGCAGCCCTTTTCAGAGCCTCCCCCATTTGGGGATGTGCCACAGTTGCACCCAATTGTTATTAATATTGATTTTTCAGGTGGGCTGACTAAAATTAAACTGCTCCAACTGAATGGCAAAAATTCCCAGTAATGAAACACCTGGTTGAAGATAGGTTATATTGCTAGCTATAGTTATATGATGCATATTATTGGCATTGAGATGACAAAGAAATATTGTTGGTAAACTTAGCAAATCTGCCCAAACCCTTGAAATGTAATACCAAGTGTAACATATACCATACATAGGTACAAGCATATTAATATATAGATATGTTTTTCTCTTTCATTATGTGAATATCTAAGGAAGAAAAATAAGCAATTATGAGAACAAATACCCTTTCTAAAGAAGTGATGGATTTTTATTTATTGATCTAACAGATTATATATATATATATATATATATATATATATACACACACACAAATTACTCACAGATTATTTTTAGTGTTTACCCGTATTTGAGTAGATACTCATTTTATCTATTAAAAAGTATATTTATTTTCATCAACTGGCCTGAATATTTGAGAAATCTTAAAGAAAAATGTGTTCGCCAGCAGAAATCAAACCTGCACCACCTTTTGTATGATAAAAAGGTTGTTAGATCCAATGTGCTTTTAGACTGTTGGAGCTACGGACTACATCGACAATCAAAATTAAATCATGCCTTATAAATGCAAATCTTTCGCAGGCTTGCAAATCATTCACATCTGCTCAGTTTTGTATCCTAATATAGAATTCCCTGAAAATAATGTTTAAGTAACAAAATTTGTTGGATTAATAAAAAAAAATTTAAAATTCCATCACTTTCAAAATGGTACGTGTTCTCATAATAATTGCTTATTTTTCTTAGGTTTTTCTTTTTCATTATGTAAATCTCTATCTATATATTATATATTAATATGCTTGTACTTATGTATGGTGTGTGCTATACTCGGTATTATATTTCAAGGATTTTGGTAGATTTACCAACAATATTCCTTTGTTGGCTCAATATTACTATAATAATGGAATATCTCCTTAGCAAATAAAGTTCAGGTTGCATTTCTTTTTAGTCTCATCTGTCTTTGGATGTAATGATTTATTTTATTTTTTATTTATCTATTTTTTATTTTTAGTGGCTTCCCATAAAACTGTTTCAGCAGTAAATGAAGCATCTACTCAAATATGGATATGGGTAGCCACTAAAAATAATGTTCAAGTAATAAAAATCTACCAGATTAATAAATAAAAATTCATAGCTTCTTTAAAAATTGCTTTGTTTATGTTAGTATGCAAAAGTGAGTAGGTATGAATGTTTTGAAAGCCTGAGGAAAGATTTGCATTTATAGGGCACAATTTAACTTTGTGACCATCCATGTTGAAACTTATCAAGAGGATTTATAAAGACGATTTATATTTGAGGTGCCTCTGATTGTGATCAGTGGTAACCAATCTACTTCAGTTATGTGCCTTGTGTGTTACACGCATAGGCAATCATGTATCTTTCAATACATGACTGACGAGGCAGATTTTTTTTTTCACGCAGTATGTTTCTATTTCTTTCTGCGGTAGACCAGTTGCCATTCAAGGCTACAGAACCTGGTCTGTCCTTCTATTTATCCATAGCGGGGAAAGAAGAGGATTCATACAAGAATATAATTAAAATTCTTAAAGTGTTTGACTATTTAGTCAGTTATGTGCCATGCGTGATACACGCTTAGGCGATCATGTATCTTTCGATACATGACTGACGAGGCAGATTTTTTTCCGCTGTAGGTTGCCATTTCTTTCTGCAGTAGACCAGTTGCCATCCAAGGCTATAGAACCCAGTCTGTCCTGCTACTTACCCATAGCTGGAGGGAGAAGAGGATTCCTACCCTTTCCCAAGGGTATTAGCACATAAGTGAATGTAATGGACTCGGCTCTCGAATTCCTCAATCCGAGCTGCTATCCATTACTCCAGTGTAACTTATAAAAACCTCATTCAGTAGAAATCTACTTCACAAATCCAAAATGAACTGAAAAATTATCAGCTGCTTCAGTAAGATCTGGACTGCTCCTGTTATGCCTCATCAAAAAAAAAAAAAAATAAACTCAAATTGGATCAAAAATGGAGTATTGTTACCAACCATATCTGAGCTGGAACTACCCAGTCCTTACTTTCCAGTTCAAAAATCTATTCAGCCTTGTGATTGATAACTTTTTCCAAACCTACAACTCTTTTCGCTGTAGATGGAGCATGACAAGCTTCTCTCTACTCTATCATGATTTTCATGGCAAATGTTCTGACAAGTTCCATTCATTAGTTCTACTAGTTCAGACCTTTACAGCTAAGATCCGCCATGTCATGTAAACTGCATTCCCTTTGTGTTTCATTAGTGAGAAGGGAATTCCATTTGGAAAAATTTGTGGAACAGACTCCCAAGAGGATATTTTCCCAATCACTACAATCTTCACCAATTCAAGTCTCAGGGTACAACTTTATAAACTGTACCTCTTCTAAAAACCTCATTAGTAGACATCTACTTTGAGTGGGCTTATGGCCACATTATCGTAATTTCCTAAGCATAGCTTAGATGTGGCACAAGGCCAAAAATGTGGGGCACACAGTATCACACTCACTAATCAGTCATAACTGATCTAGTATGACATGCTTGATAGCCATTACACCACATTATGTTGAAATACCATTTCTTGTTCAATCACCAAAGTTAAGCAACGTCTAGCCTGGTTAGTACCTAGATGGGTGACTGCTTGGGAATACCAGGCGGCGTAATGGATAATGGCTTGGAATCATTAATCGGGGAACTGAATTCCAATTCCTGTTAGTCATTATATTTACATACAAATACTCTTGGAAAAGATATAAATCAAATTCTTCTCCCCCAAGCTATGGGTTAATTAATAAGACTTGTAACACTGAAACCTAAAAAAAAAAATTACAATTTAAAAATATTTTCTGGCTTTAAATAACCTGCAAAAGGTTGACAAACTGTAGAAAATGAATGAATTGATATACCTTGAGTGGTACTTTGGTGAAAAATTAGTGATAAAGAAACAGTTTGCAAAAATTTTTTAATTGAATTCTTAACAAGCATTTTAACTAAAATTATCATAAATTTAGACTATTCATAGGAAAAAGTATATTAAACAATTTTGAAATACATATTCTGCATTTGTCTATATTTCTAAGCTTGAGGTATTGTAACAATTTACTTGTTGTCCTCATCTTCATTGCCATATTCACAATGGTTCAGCCATTGTATACTCCGGCCTTCTTCAAGTGTATATACTGGAATTTCAAACTCACCCCTTTTAGTCCACAGGGGTACACTGTTCTAATTCCACGTGCCATGCCTTGTTTTGGATATCTCAGTTTCAGTGAATTCCCTTCAGTAACTCAACTCTCTAAGTTTTTGTTCACCTCTGCTGTGGGAAGGTATTGAACTCACAACTCTTTGGGTCAAGTCACTTTTGGATTACTTCAACCAACACTTTTCTCCCTGGGCCATGTGTAAAGGGTTCGGTTTGAAATTCCAATGTATATCACCTGAAAAAGACCAGAGAGTATAACGGCCAAAACATAAATATGGTACTAAAGATGTGGACAGTAATCCAAATGATGTAAATAGTGTAAATATTTTGCATTTTCGAATAAAAAAAATAAATAAATAAATAAAAAAAATTGTTGGTTTAGTTTTCATTGGTCAATAGGAAAAGAATTGGAAACCCATGAGTACAAACAGGAACTGTCATAATTATTTTTCATGGGTGGTCACAAATGGGATCACCTGTGGATCTGGTATTCTTTGGAATGAACTAAGCTGACTGGCATATCAGCTGTCTTGAACTATTTTTTGTGTGTGACATATATCTTTGGACAAAACAGGCATAACTGACTGATACTTAATTCCTTGGGATCTGTCGTCTCGTGGGTAAAGTTAGTGAAAACAGTGTAACACCTGCAGCAAGATGTTGATAGAACTATTTTTTTTTTTTTCCAACAACCCATACAAATCATTTTCATATTCAGTTGTGGGGTCCATGGAAATTATCCCACTGACTAGATGGATGGATAAATGGTCTCTCTTGAAGGACTATAAGTCTACAGTGACACTGAATAAATTGGTTAAAACAAAGAATGAGCAACAGTTATCCAAACATATCTAAAAAATTAATCCTTTTCAAGGATTATATGTAAATAATCTTATTTTACACTATTTACATTTCCATCCTTGGTATGACAAACTACATCCATGTCCTGAGTAAGACGGGAAACTATGTCCAGCAGCAAGGCCTCTGATCAGGTTTTGAGGAGCATGGAACCACCTCTTAATTGCTGGTGTTCTCAGGTCCACCCTGACCCAGGGTGATAGCACCTGCTAGGGTCCCAGCAATGGGCAAATAGTTAACCCCAAAACTGAAGTAAAAAGCATTATAAAAGTGTAAAAATAGGTTTTAATACCAGAAATACTTTGTAAAAAAAAAATTATTACCAGAAATAAATTTTTGAAGAAAAAAAAAATTACCAGCAATACAATTTTTTTTTTTTTTTTAAATATTATGAGCTATATAGTTTTGAGAAAAAAAAATATTACCAGAAATAGATTTTTGACAAAATATTACCAGGAAAAATGTTGCCGGCATTAAATAACCCATTGAGGTTGATATTTCATAAAACGTAACAAACCAAACCAACTATTTACATTCAAACTATTGTCTTCATTTTAGTTATAACATTTCAACCATTGTGCCCCCTGACCTTCATCAGGTCCATCTCAATCCAAGTAACCTAAAAGGGAATTTTGAAGTGAAATTGTTATTTAATGTACAGGTGTAGATTGTTCTTGTTACACATCAAGGAATATATCATCTAGTTCTTATATTTATTAAAGCTCGGTTACTGCTCACCCTTATTTCACTGTGTCAACATACACACTGCCTGCCCTGTTGGCTGGAACTTCAGAGTATGCCAATTGCACCTCTTCAGCGGAGTAGATCTCCACACCAATGAGAGGTCCTGGGTGTGAAAATAAACTGCATCCAGCAGCAAGTCCAATGAGTGGGAGGTTTTGAGGAGTGTGGAACCACCTCTTAATTGCTGTTGTTCTCAGTTCTACCCTGACCTGCAGTGGTCACACCTGTTAGGGTCCCAGCTATGAAAAGTGGGGGTCAAAACACTATGAGAGTATAAAAATACTTTTTTTAGAGTAAAAGTACCAGCAATATATTTAAAATTAAAAAAATTACCTGCAATACATTTAAAATAAAAAAAAAAAAATTATCTGCAATACATTTTGACTCTTGATAAAAACCCTTTTTACAAAAATAAGTCAATGAAACCTGATATACAAACCGATTTTTTTTACAAAGAATACTTATTCTATTAATGCAAATCTATCCTAAAAATCTTGTCTGTATTAAATAATCCATTGAGATTGATATGCTGTAAAACAAAATAAACAAAACTGTACGCACTACCCAGTCCAGTGATTGAACTCTCATTTACTGTCATCAAATTTGTGAATCAGCATTCTAATCCTTAGGCTATTTAGTATAAGTAATGATAACTCCTCATCCCATAAATTCAAATATAAATAACCTTAAGTTTAAATAACTCATTGGAACAATGATTTTTTTTTCTTTTTCCTAATTAAGGAAGCCAGCCAATCAATGAGCATACTGCATGATAATGCTTGTTTTCAATTTGCAAATTCAAGCCTTACTAAACCAGCATTTTAAAATTGCAATTTCAAATCTCTCGGCTGCTATTAATCTATTTCTCTTCAAGCATTTTCAATCACTGATATATTCTATGAAAAATATTCCACTCTGTTTATTTATATTTTAATATTAGCAAAAGCAATTATCATTTGCTTCTGGGTAGAAATCCACATCCTCAAAATTTAATTAAATCTAAATCTCTTGCCAAAGAAGCAAAAGATAAAGAAAAAATGGCTGTTGTCAACTCTAAAGAGATTTTATAGTCTGGGTAAACAGACCACTTGGCATTTTTCCAAGGTTTCCGAAAAATAATTTTTTTTTTTTTTTTTCTTTTCTTTTCTTTTCTTTAAATTAACTCGTATTAAACTTGAGATTTTTTTTGCTAGTTTGCGTTTTTTTTTTACAAAAAAAAAAAATGGAGTTTTACAATAAGCATTGCAACCAGGAATAAAAATTTTATTTTTTTTATTTTTATATTTCCATAGATTAATGACTTCAGATCATGAACGTAATTTTTTAAATTTTATAAAATCTTAATAAACTAAAAGAGGGGTCTAGTTTGCAATGTAAATGTATTGTAAACTGATTCCCTACAGAAGCCAAAACAAAATATGCTCATACCATGTTTGTTGTCTGTTTGTTTGTTTTTTTTGTTTTTTGTTTTGTGGTTGTCTGTTTGTTTGTTTTTTGTTGTGGTTGTCTGTTTGTTTTTTGTTGTGGTTGTCTGTCTGTTTTTTTTTTTTGTGGTTGTCTGTTTTTTTTTTTGTTTTTTGTTTGCTTGTAAGGAATTTTAAATTTTTAGACTCTTAATCTGAAGTTTTTTCATACACTACTATCAATTAAGCACTCTAGATGTGCAGTGTCCCTTCAAGAATTTGATCATGACACTCCACAACTTCCTGTCCTTTGTAGATTATAAACTTTATCTTTTTCACTATCTCTCCTAATCCCTGTTCTGCCAACCATTTACACAAGTTCATTAGGTAGGCTATTCACTGCATTCTTCTTGCCTTTTAATGTCCTGTGAGTATCAAATTCTCCAAGCCCTTTTTCCTAATTAGGTGCCTTAGAAATTTTCACTCTCTTTTTGATTTTAAGTAGAAGTGTACTTTTTGATTTCATTTTCTCTAAAACCCTGTCAATACTTACCTGTTCAGTCTATGGTATTTGCTGTAGAACCACATTTTTTGCTTCATGTCTCACCTTTATCTGTGAGATTGTCCACCATTCCCTGCTATATAGGAGGACTGATATTACATAAAATACTCTTTTCAGTATTTCTAACAAGATTTTCCTATTTCTTAATATCTTGCTTACTTTTTGGAAGGCATATTTCAGTGTTGCATTTTCCATCCTCTGGTAAACATTTCTTTGATATTTAAATCTTTGTACTTTGATTTTCTTTTCTTCAATTTGTAATTCACATGTTGGGCTCTTTGTGCTGACAGCTATACATAGTGTTCACCCAGTACAAGGCTCAAGAGGCACTAAAGATAGAGGATTATGGATGTAAGTGCACATTATGAGGATATGTAGGATAGATTACAAAGACCCTAAACTTAGAGATTAAGATTGTAGTGATTATGGAAGCATCCTCTTGGGATTCTGTTCGACAAAGTAGTGCTTCTCAGGAAGATGTATAAATGGAACTTCCTTTTTGCTAACTGAATGCATAGTGAATGAGAATGACCCTGTTTGCGTTCATCGTGGCTCTTTGTTGTAAAGTTCTGAACTGGTAGAACTATTTTCCATGAAAATAGTGATAGATTAGCAAGAGGGTTACACCTTTTTTTGTGTGTGTGTGGCGGGGAGTGGCTGTAGGGTGAGAAATCACCCACAAGACCATGTAAACACTTCTGAACTATACCAAGGCTGGAAATTGAGGATTGGATAACTCCAGCTCAGATATGGCAGCAATACTCCATTTTTAGTCTGGTCTTACTCTTGTTAAGATAGAGCATGGCAGGAGGGGTCGGGTACTTCCTGGAGTGGTACCAGGATCCAGCCAGTTTCCCAACATTATTTGTGATGGATCATATATAAGTTCCACT